CTGCGCTCCAGTCTGGGTGGCAGAGCGAGACTCCGACTCAAAAAAAAAAAAAGAAAAGAAAGAACGAAACGTTCCAGAGAAGCACGTCAGTGTCTCAGCAGATGGCCCCTAGAAACTATGTTTTACTCTTTTCCATACAGAACAATAGCAATGAGCTCATATCCAATACTGAGCTCAGTGCAGATTTCAAGCGAAGAAAGCTGGTGCCTTCGTCTTTTTCTCCTACAAAAAATGCAGATTTCACCCAGTGAATTTTTAGTTTAAATGCAGTATTTAGAATATATTAATTTACCCTCGTGGGCTGCTTCAGTTGTGGTTTTTGATGGTGTATCACCAGTTTGCTATTTTTTAGGTGGAAGAAGCCCACGCCTGCAGTCAGTCGTGCTGGGCTCTTGGGGCGTGTGCTTGACGCCGCTCTCGTCCCCAGCCTCGCGCCCGGCCCACTCCAAGTCTTTCAGTAACGGAACCTCTCTAACTGGCCCCCACCCCAGTTTAAGTCAACAGCTTTCGTTTTTTTGAACAAGTTGTCGTGGCTTCGTTCTTAGACTTCACGGTCCCCTCTCTCCCAGACCCAATCCGCTTGACTCAAAAAGGGAATGTGTCTTTTCCGAAATGTCTCATCATTTGGAGTCCGTTAGTGGCTCACTAGCACTGTGAAGGCAAAAATTCAAAATCCTTTTAGCAAGGTGTCTTGGCCCACCCTGTTGAGAAGGATTTTTGAATCTGTACGTTTGAAAGATGCCTCTTCGCTGGGTAAAAAAATCTAGGTTTAAAGATGTAGCACTGTTGCCTCCTGGACTACTTTGTCTCGGATACCCTTAACTTTGCTCCTTTGCTTGTAATGTCTCTTTTTGCTTGCTTGCTTAACTCTGGCTGCTTTTAAGATTTTGCCTTTACCGTTGGTTTGTGCAACTGAATTGCTGTGTGCATTGGTATAGCTTTCTTTATGTTTTTTGTGCTTGGGGTTGAGCTCACTGGCTCTGTGGGTTAATGGTTTTCATATTGTTTTATACATAGTTTATATTTCCACAGCATCAGATTTAAAATTTTGGCTATTTAAAAAAAAATTTAGCATCATAGGGTACACTGAGGATCTGTTACCTGGGTATATTATGTGAAGGGGAGGTTTGGCTTCGAATGACCCCTCGCCATCCCCTGGTGGCGAGCATGGCACCTTTGGGTGGCTTTGTGTCTCTCACCCCCGCCCCTGCCGCCCACTTTTAGCAGCGTCCAGCCCCTCGTGCGCCTGGTGGTGCCCCCTTGGGAGCGAGAACGTGCGACTTTTTGTTTCGGTGGTAGTTCCCTTAGATGATGGTCTCCGGTTGCATCCGTGTTACCAAGGACATGGTTTGTTCTTCTTTATGGCGGCGCAGTATTCTGTCGTGTGTGCATCCACATTTGCTTCATCTAGTCCAGCTTCGATGGCATCCGGGTGGTTCCTGATTTTGCTGGCGCGGGTGGTGCTGCAGTGACCACACGCGTGTGGGTGTCTTTCCTACACCTGTAGAGCAACTTCTGGGTAAATTCCCAGAAGCGGGACTGCGGAGTCGAGTGGCAGCTCCGTTCGCAGTTCTTTGAGAAACCTCCAGACTGCTTTCCGCAGGAGCTGAACTAACTTCCCTCCCCACCAACAGCATATGGGCATTCTCTTTTCTCTGAAACTGTGCCAGCACATGTTTTTTGGCTTCTTTTAAAAGTCACCCAGGCTAGAGTGCAGTGGCATGCTCAAAGCCACTGCAGCCTTGATCTGCTGGGTTCAGGCGATCCTTCCGCCAGGTAGCTGGGACCAGGCACGTGTCGCCATGCCTGGCTAATTTATTTATTTATTGTAGAGACAAGGTCTTGCCAAGTTGCCCATGCTGGTCTCGAACCCCTGGGCTCAGGCAGTCCTCTTGCCTCTGTCTCCCAAAGTGCTGAGACACAAGCATGAGCCACTGTGCCCAGCCTGTTTTTTGATTTTTTAATGATAGCCATCCTAACTGGTGTG